AAACTGCTTCTGGTAAGTTATGAGAGTGGTTGCTGAGGGAGTGGATGAGTTCGATGTCGCGAGGAAGAATGTCAAGGCAGCCTTGATGCCTGTGTTCATCTGATAGAGAGTTGCCGTTGGTGTCATACTGCTGGACTCGACAGCGGAAACGGCCATTGTCCTCAAATCGTCCGAGAACGACGGGCCGCCTCATCGACTGCGTGATTGAAGTAGCAGACTTTGGCCAGCCGAGACGTATGGAGTAAGTCATCAATAGGTTATAAGCACGAGGCTTACGAATGAAAGACCTTGCGGGAAAATCGAGTGATTCAGGGGTAGTCGATACGACTGCGACTTTCGACAGGAGCACAGTGTGGCTAGAGACTTCGAAGTCCGGCCTTGACGACCGCGTTCGCTGGCTTGTCCGTTTCTGAAACGCCCTCCGATCTTTTTCTACCACAATCACTTGATTAAGACCGTAACCGTTTGCTCGCCGACATATCTTGCGCAGACGGCGCTGGGGCGCTTCTCGATACTGAGGCCTGCCTTCTTTCAGATAGAGCTTCATCCTTTCTACAATAAGAGATGCAGCGTCAACTCTCTGCGAACCAAGATCATCCAAGCCGCGGTATTCCACGGACGTTGATTTATAGTGTGATTTACAGAGAATATTGTATCAAGCCAAGTACATAACAGACAGTGAAACTGCGGGCGGTATTCGAGTCTGATATAGCCGGGTCAAAACGATTCGACTTCAGTGATCTAGCTCCCAATGAGCTACTACATTGTCTCGGTGCTAAACAGGTTTTACATCAATGACATAAAACCCGCTGGTTGGTTCATCTAATTAAACCGTTCTGTTAGCTTATCATTTTTCAGGTTCGGTTGAGTGCGTGCACGAGTACTACACGAAGTAGAGTTTCATAATGGTAAATTGAGAGAGAAACCTTAGACTGAGTCTATCATGTCTCGGTGACGGTATAAAAAAAGCCTGTGTCAACAATAATCAGTTTCTCATTTAGTCATATTCTCCAGCCTATAGAGTGCCTGACCTTTTCTTGTCTCCGCAGACTTTTACGTCAGGCTCGCGCGGGCGGCGTTCACGTCATCTCTGTAAGGGTCATCATCGCTGTTATGACACAATCTGTAAATACTTTGAACAGCCCTAAGCTGTCAAAGAGATGGTCGAAGATCATTGGGGCATCGACAGCCGAGTCGCACCAGCTGGGAAGTCCGCTAGCCACCAAACAAAATCCATTTTGATAACTCCAAAGTCAAATATCAGCTTTCTATCTATCAGCTCGTTGCTGTAACAACAAATCTGGCCTATGGACCTGGTGGTATCGACGATTAAGCAGTCTTAAGTCCATAAAAGAAGAATTGGGTTGTGATCGAGGCGCAACATAAGAAGCATTAGCAAAATAAACCTTGCGGCGTGATCTGGCAAAATACCACGTGCAAATTCATGAATTGAGGTCAAGGGGTAATCTTAGGTTGCCTCGTCAGCTAAGTCACACTTCAGAACTTGCCTCATTATGGCACGGGAAACCCTGCTAGAGCGTAAAGAATTAGTCATAGTTTCCTTTCACTCGGCTGGATACTAAAGCTGACATCATTCATTTATCAGGTTCAACGGGTGGTTGAATATGGGTTGAAACTAGCAATGCTGTCATTGCGATTGTCCTCAGGTTCGCTCACGGGGTCAGAACATGAGCGCTATTGTATGACACAGAGGGACGATATGACGTACTCCCTCACTCAATCAGCAATAACCAAGTTATAAGAATGATGGTCGTCTAGGGCACTGCCGCCTCAGAAACCAAGATGAATAACCGTTCAAGCTATGCTAACCATGCGTCTCGTTACAAGTTCGCCATGTTCGGCGCTAAACGCGAAAAGAGAAGCTTCAAGGATAACATCAGACGTATCAGCAAGCCAGACATACGTCGATTAGCTCGTCGCGGTGGCGTGAAGCGTATCAGTTACGGTTTGTGATAAGTCTTTGTATTATATCCTCTAGGATGGCACTGACAGATATTTAAAGATGTCTACAATGAGGCTCGCGCCGCGATGATGTCATTTCTAGAAAATATCATTCGCAGCGCAGTCATGTATTGCGATCATGCAAACCGCCGAACGATCACGTCGCTAGATGTTGTTTATGCGCTGAAACTGCACAGGAGGGTATTATATGGGTACGGCCATTAAACCAAGGGCGGCCTAAGAGTTGTCATATCTGTGAGGGTGGAAGTAAAAACAAACAGCAGTGTCACTTGCGGCTTATACACACCTTCTTACAAACTTAGATCTTCCCAAGACGATAAAATTATCGCGATATCAAGTACGTGTGATTAGGTAATATGAGCTAGCTTGTATTATCTCTGACTTAGTAAACCGAATCTTACAAAGACCTCAGCCAGTCCTGTTGCCCTTCTGCTATTTGGAAATCCTGTTCTGGCGGTAATTGATTAGAGTAGAAATCTCCCCCATCTTTGTGATGCGAAGTGTTAAGGTTCAGCTAAGCCGGGATAAGCCAAGGCGAGCTGGTGCGCAACTCCATGTCAAAAAGCATACTGGCTGTATAGGGCTAGGGGATGGCTGAAGCATCATCGTCAGCAAGCTCGTTTCGTGAAGCAGTCTTTTAGCCATCACGTCGAGAAGTGCATGACAGTACAGCCGCTCGCTGTTTATCGAAAGAATACCGACTAAGCAGCATTTTGCGGACATGCAACAGAAGGAAAAGGGACAAATTCTCATGCTCTCGGGAACTATGCGGAGAGTCGTGAGCAAGAGAAAGCTTATGCTGTCCATTTCATCACGATTTGGACCCTCCTTTCATGCAGAGTTCTCGTTGCTTTGAAGGGACAGAAAAATTTGCTTACTCCTTTTCATGAGAACGCGTAAAGTGGAAACTGTGAATAGTTGGACCCGCCTAGTATTGCAACGCAAGTCAATTTCGCCTAGGATCGACGAAGTGAGGCTCTTGAAGGGATTTCTGCGCCCTGGAAAGGTGCCACAAAGCGAACGATGCACAGGCCGGCGTCCGAGCGATTGACGTTGGCAACACACGATCTAATTGGCTATTGACAAACGGACAACATGGGCATGATCCGATTCGCTGATTACCGGATGGGGGTCATCTGGCCTACCGAAAGGTCCACACATGGCCGGTCTGGTATTGGCCTTGTTTCTGGATCTCACTGTGGTCTGTGCTCGGACGTGGAAATTTCCTGGTACATACTGCGTAGAAACATCCGCCGTCCACCACCTCGCGTAAAATTTGGAAGATCTAATAACATATAATCTAATCTGAGTAAGCCTATAAGAATACCTTGGTGGATCACTCTGGCCGTAGTCATGTCAGGTTGCGTGAAGCCGAAATTGTCGACACATTGTTATGGCAGGAGTGGCATGTCTTGGCCTGTTAGCGGGGTTATTATCTGATCGCTAACTATCCTGGACACACGCTGAGCGACCGAAGAATGCTTACTTTCTCGATCAGAGTGGCTCTTCGCAAGCATTTCGCCCATGCCCCTCGCATCTGTTTCGCTGCGCGGACGCGCACATCTGCGTAACGGTGTGTCATCCGCTAAGTCTTTTGAATAACCGCCGAAGTCTTTGCTGTACGCTCTCGGCCCTGGGTCGGGAACCAGTAGGTACAGTGCTCCTTTCAGTACTGCGGGGCCGGCTTTCCGGTCGCACAACGTTCCCGGCGCCTCCGCGTCCTACGTGATACGGCCGGAAACGATCTTTGGGAGGGGTTGAGTTTTCCATTTCAAAAGAGGGTGGGCGATCACGTGTTTGGTGTACTCGATGTCGTAATACGTAGAAAGGGAAAGACGGAAAAACGTGGGAGGACAAGAATGACTGGTCCGTCTTTTTAACTCTCACCGCCGGGAGTAATTGATTGCTGGGTCACAATACGGTTCACGTTTCCATGCTGTCATGTTCCCGTGCTGTTATGTTTTCATGCGAACAACTCAAAATAATTGTAACATCACGGAGGGGAAACGGGCAGGCGTTAGCAACAACTGTGTTTTAAGCAGTCAGGACTATGGTGACTGAATCAGTCGAGGCCCATCAAATTCTTACCCACAGCTTGGGCACATTCTTAACTCCGTGTCGAAGAAGTGGCTATGCCGATTCTCCCCACGCTAAGGATCATGCGGAAGGATTTCGATAGGGTCATGCAGCTGTTCCGTGAACTTTTCTGCCTGCCTGGCACTTTGTCCAGCTTCTTCGCACGTTACTTGCTCGACTAGCTGAAAAGCATAACGGCAACGCGTATCGCTACGTTCCGGTGCCATAGCAGCTCCTCCCTCGTCGGAATTCGTTCGTATTGATCGCTAATCACAGTTCATCTTAAATCCCTCTCAGATGAAAGATAGTGAATATCTCAATATCGTTACCTAAAAAACGTGAGCTGCTGACATAACTCCTCCCGTTTCCATATCTCTCACTCAGATGAGAGGATGAATCTCATAGATAAGAACAGCAGCATGCGCTGTTCTCAGACTTATGCGCCTCTGTTGTTCAAGATTCGAACATGTTGTGGCCCCTCTAAGCAGTCTGAGTGCTTTCGGACAGTTCCGACACAAGAGCTTCCAGCTATTGTTTAGCGAAAACACATCATCGACAGAGCAGGCCGTGAAACAAGATTTTTTCAATGTAATAGGCAGGCCTTTTGGAAGGGTGTGGCTGCCCCGCTGTTTTCTGCCTATGCCTTGGTGATACATTTTTCGAAAGGGCGTCGCAGATAAACGAGAGCGCATGAAGGAAGGATGAGGCTCATACTAAACATGAACGTCAAGGATGAAGTGAGGACGGTTTCCCTCTCGCCAACTAAGACGGCAGGGCGCGTGACAGACTGACTTTGCGTAACGTTAGCTAGACTAGTAAAGAGACGAAAGTCAACTTGCAGGTAGAAAAGCTGTATACGATCGCACAGTGCGAAGCCGGCCCATCCGCAATATCGAATCATTAGCCATATGGAAGTCTCTCGTCCCGTTAGCATAACTATCCTGCGACGGTTACGTCCATTAGGAGTTAGCCTCTTTGTAGTCTACCTAGATTGACCGCCGATGGATTGCGACAGGGCGTAACATAACCTTGCGTAACATGACCTTGCGCAACATGACCTTGCGCAACATAACCTTGCCACGCTAGCTATGCTTAGTTTAGAGAATATCGATTCATCACTGGTACTGGAATGCCCACGAGCTGGCTCCCGTTGTTTCTCCGTAACCAGGTTAACAATCCGGGTCCCGAACCTGATTCGGCTTGCGGCTGACAATTACGTAGAATCAGCCAGGGAACTGCGCCAGCTAGCTACTCCGCTGCGATTCGTGACTCGAGTCTCTATTCGAGAGTAATCACACGCTAGGAAGCCTCTGTCTCCAATTTGAACCGGTCGAAGCTAGGTCTATCTTCTCCCAGGTTATCCCGCCGTTTGATCAGCCCGTCCCGCTGGCTCAAGCAGGGCTACATCTAGGCACCTGGGAGAATGGTGCGGTCGCTTTACTAGACTAGACCATCTATCCAATCAAACGCGTAGCGCTTCGACTTGGACTCGGCACTTCTGATAGGGCCATGACAGTGATGCTGCAGAAAGTCAACAAATATATAACCGGAAGTCACTGCACCAGCAAAGGTGACGATATACACCCTCTTACAGTCCCCTCTTCAACCACATCCAGCCCTCGATATATTAACAAAACGGTGAGCTTCCAAAAAAAAAAAAGATGCGGATCTTTTTCGTCTGTTCCGTCGCCGCTGCAGTTGTCGCCAGCGCTGCATCGCGAGACACTGGAGTATGGCTTTTTATTCAAACCCCCCCCCCCCCCCCCATACAACTATCCCGCTGACACCGCGTCGCCGCAGGATCTTGGAGATGCCCCAGTCGTCAACAACCCACAAGGTATTGTCTATGAGGCAATCCTTCCGGATAGGCCCTTCTTCAAGGCAGGTCCCATGACTGGAAACGTCCGAGGAACCATCACCGCCATGACAGCTCGGGACGGCAACGGTGTCGAGCTCACAGTCGAATTTTCGGATCTGCCAACCGAGGGAGGCCCGTTTGGTACGTTGGGAATCGTTTGCCACTGAATCACTTACTCATATCGGTCCGTTCTAACGTTGATAGCCTATCACCTTCATGCTGATCCGGTTCCGGAGGACGGCAACTGCACGAAAGCACTCGCGCACCATGACCCCTTCATCCGTGGGGAAGGTACACCGTGCGATGGCTCCAGGCCAGAGACTTGCCAAGTTGGAGACCTCAGCGGTAAGCACGGCTCTGTCGCCGGCGACCACTACCATCAGACATACGTCGATCGCTATCTTTCGATCGTGCACGGGCCAGGCTCATTTTTTGGCAACCGTAGCTTCGTGCTGCATTTCGCAAACAAGACACGGATCACCTGCGCCAACTTCAGAATGGTCGAGAGCGCTCCGCCATACAACAACGGGACCGGCGTTCCCAGTGCGGTTCAGGCGACCGGTGCTGCACCTGTCGCAACTTCTCATGACCACGTGCCATTGGTCGGCGCGGCATCGACAATGGGCGTATCAGTGTTTTTCCTGTGCTTGATGTGTACTACGGCTTACCTAGTCCGCGGTGTCGGCGATCTCTGAGTCTCGAGATTGATGGACAACTAGATGACCTGAGTCTGAGTTTGCCTTTTCAATAGAAAAGGGTTTCGAATCAGACGTTCATCATGCCTTTCAGTCGCACTAGAATGTGATTTGAATGATGCTGGGTCAGGGTAGAGGGTGGCGTTTGTTTAGGCTATGTTCGGATGGAGGAATACCTAAAATCACTGCTGTTTCCACAATCTTGTTTACTTGCTTGGTGATTCCTATCCCGATTCTCCCCGCTCCCCCCCCCCCCTAACCTCCGTACGACTCGTTAGCAGTAGACCATGCAAACAGACGTACATTCATTGAGCGGTGAGATTAATTCGACCATAGCGGTTTGAATGGTACTAATGGTTTGTTTTGACTTCCTACCGGAAAACGTACTTGAGGCTAAAGCGAGCAATGATCCGCGAATAGCTACCCACCACGCTCCCTATCTCCGCATACTATCGATCAGCCCGCCCTGTCAGGTATACAACTGAATGTTCATGAGAGACTACTCCCAAACCTGTTGGCTTTGTTGGTATGCCTCCCTTCTCGTGGCAATGCAAGCTGAATAGCCTTCTCCGCTGCAACCTCAGTTTCTCGTTTTCTTGTCGCTGCGCCAACCGAAGATACTTTTTGCGGATAACAGTCTGTTGAAGCATCTGCCTTCTCTGCCGGGCACTGCTGACCTCTTCACTCGTTTGTGAAAGCTGGCGTTGCCATTTGGACACAATAGTGTCCGTTTGACACTTGTGCAGTCTGCAAAGCGCTCGTTTTACGATGTCTCCGAGCTTAGCGTCCTCGAAATGAACGAAGCTGGCTTCTTCGAGATCGCTGCAGATTCTCTTCTTGCAGCGACCGCCAGATTTGGCTTGACCCAAACACTTCCCGAGCCCCTTCAGATTTATACATCTCATAAACTCAGCGATCGAAAATAATCTAGAAGCTACCATAATGCTTCAAGGGAAATGACCAATCAGTAGAACGAGCTTACTTGGATTCCGATGAAGTAGATCACCATCATATAAATAGTTCGACCA